ATATTTCTCTGGAATATGCCTAAAAATAAGAAAACCTATTAAAGGAGGAGCTGAATACAGAATGCATAACTACCATGCAAAAAGCAGGTGAAAGTACAGAGAAATAACAAATAATATTTCAAACAGTATTTTTCTTTAGAGGTTAAAAAGTATAGGGGAAATGTATGGTTCAGTAGAAGTGAGGCTGAACTAAATCATGCTAAGAATATTAAAAGCAATTACAAAGTGTCCATAATTTACATTAATTAAGAAGGTAGAAAGGCGGACAGGCCATTACACAGTGACAACGAACATAAAGACAATATATGAATGACTATAAGTGAAGATTTTACCTCAGCTTTTAAACAAATGCAATTCTGGACCTGGGGCACAAATAAAATTGTTTGTAGGAATGTATGTCTCAGCATGGTAATTATCAAAGCTGGTGCTGAAACAAAGCTCAGAAGTTTTTTGTGCTAAGATTGAGAGAGATATGAAAATAACATTTCTAGAATTCTTGGAAGAACTGATATAAATTCCTGGAAATTTTGGGGAAATCAGTATTTTAACGACCCATTTAATGGGGAAGGGGAAGTACAAGAGACAAGTTAAACATGAGCTTTCTATATATTTGTAAGGCCCACTCAAAGTATTATACATAATGAACTTACAATTTCAAGGCAACTGAAATAGCTTCCCTAGTATGTAAAGTTTAAAGAAATTTTTGAAGAAAATTAGTGTTTTTTAGCATATGATGAAGCAGGCTAATCTAATAAAATAACCAATCTTTAGATGAAATAAAGGATTTCATTTGAACCTATTTAAGGTTTCTAACACTTCGGGGGGGAGAACCATCTTGTAACCCTGGATTATGAAGATTTATAAGATAGAGAGAGACCTGGGTGAAGGGACAAGCCACAGCAGTTGCTTTTGAAGGAAGCTTGTTAGAACTAAGAACTATTGTCTTCATTTACCAATGAGGACAATAAGTTTTTCCAGGAAGAAGGTGTTTAAAGGTCAATGCAGGCAGAAAAGGTGGTAGAATGTCTTTGTGAATGGCTTTACATACAGTTCAGTCCTGTTCACAGGGATCTTAATTCTTTTACAGTGCCACAACCCAAAATTCATTAGCAATTGTTCTCTTCACCTGGGTTCTAAAGTAAGAACTTGCTACTGCAATTAGTAGATGACAAAATGAGAAGAGCTTGCATTAGGAAGAGTGACAGAGGAAACAGGATGCATTTAATTATACCAAATACCAGATCACACCATGGCTATAGGAATTTGTCAGGTGGAGGTCCGCAAATAATAAGATTTCAAGAACATAAATTCATGGGTGGCTGTAATGTGGACAACAGAGAGGAAAATGTGTCCCCAGCACATTAGGACAACTTAGACAAGGTATTTCCCAGTAGACTTAAACAAATATTTATCTAAGTATACTAGGCATTACTAAGACCCATCTGTGTTTTGTGTGCCTCTGATTGCTTATGTATCTGAGCATATATTTAGGTTGTTCAGGAAATGGATACCTTTACAAGAATGGATTGACTGTTTTACAGGCCAGGCCTAAAGGATGAGAAGGGTCTGATTGGTGTTTATAGAAGCACCAAGTGATAAGCACAAGAAAGACAGAAGTTAAAAGACTATGTTGACACAAAAGAAATTATTAAAAACTGACTGGGAATTACATATTTCTATATAGAAAAGCAACCCAGCTGAAAAACAGTTTCCTCATAGGATTGGAGTAGGTGGAAGGGGCAAGAAAGACAATAAATACCTTTTCAAAGTAGTCTTTTCAAAGAACCTGAGCTAAGGATTCTGTCTCTACAATTCTGTATTGTTAAACAGTAAATGCCTCTGATAAAAATTAGACATTTTACATAAGACAGAACTGCATGAGACAGCTACATAAAAACAGGGCGCATGAAGAAAAGATCTTCTGATACTTGAGGTAATTCTTTGGAACACTCAGTATTGTGGTGGGTTCATGCAGAAAGGATAGCAGGTACCCAGCAACACTGTTCTATCACACCCCTGCTCAGCTGGGCAGGGGAGACAACCTATATTGCAACCCATATTTTAAAAAAAAGGCTCTTGGGTCAAGAAAAGGACAGGGAGGGATCACTCACCAGCTACCATTGGGGCAAAACAGTCCCAACACTGGGAAATTATTTTAATTTTTTACCGATCAAATCAAAGTATGATAATGAGAAATTAAAATAAGTCTCAAAAGCACACTGCCCTCACCCCCTCCCTCCTTTCTGGTCTCAATTTCACTCCTTATTTCTCTATCTCCTACCCACAGCAACACAAGGAGACAGGAAATGGGAGTTGGACTGAGTTCACCACACATTTGGTCTAGAATCTCTGCTGCTCCTTTCTTCTCTAGAGGAAGACTCCTCACACTCTTTCTGTGCTTCAGCATCAGTATATCCCACAGGAGACAGTTCTCCATTAACTTCTCCAAGGTAGGTTCTTCCCTTGGGCTGCAGTTCTTCATGAACTGTTTCAGCATAGAGTCCATCATTCCACAGGGTGCACTCCTTCAGGAACAGGCTGTAACAGTATGGGTCTCCCATGGGATCACAAGCCCTACCAGCAAACCTGTTCCATCATGGGCTCCTCTCTACACAGGTCCTTCCAGGAGCCTGCTCCTGCATGAGCATCCCATGGGTCACCACCTCCTTTTAGCACATCCACGTGCTTCAAAATGGGGTCCTCCATGGGCGGCAGGTGGATCCCTGCTCCTCCAGGGACCCCCAAGGGCTGCAGTGGCTCAGCTGCCTCACCATGGTCAGCACCATGGGCTGCTGGGGAATCTCTGCTGCAGTGACTGGAGCACCTCCTCCCCTCCTTCTCTAGTGGCCTTGGTGTCTGCAGGGCTGCTCCCCTCACATATTTTTACTCCTGTCTCCAGCTGCAGCTGCTGCCTCAAAAGTTTTTTCGCCCCTTCTCAAATATGTCCTCCCAGATATGCTTGGCCATGACCAGTGGTGTGTCCCTGTTGGAGTCAGATGGCATTGGCTGTCCAATCTGTGTCATTGTTGGACACGGAGAAGCTTCTAGCAGGTTCTCACACAAGTCATCCCCTTGTGTGTAGCACCCCCTTCCACACAAACCTAATAAAATTACTCCTTGGAAAAAATGACTTTTACAAGGTGACTCATTAATTCTCTCATAAAAATCACAGACTTACTGATGATAGACTGGATTTCAGTTAAGATCATTGGAAATGGAAATTGCATAATTTGTATCTTAATAACCACAAAAAAATGAAGATTTTCAGTTTGCCCTAATGGAAGGGAATTTATATTAATTAAATTGAATATGTACAAGGAGCAATATGTCTAGCTTGCTGTTTTCTACACAACAGACCAGCACATAATTCTTTCTACTACACCAAGCCAAATAATGTACAAATGACTAAGGCACAAGTTCAAAACCATTCCTTGATAAAATTAAGAGATAGTTGTTCCAAGTGGAAATTAATCATGCTGTTACCTAGTTGTGCTCATTTAAACATGTGTTTTCAGTTTCCAGATACATATTTCTTTTCTAACTTTCAGAGCTGAATCTCCATTTTCTTAGTTCAAGGTTCAAGTCACTCAAGCTGCCAAGACTGGAGCAAATGATAAAGAAATCTACAAAAGCTTACACTCTGATAAATTCAAGGGAAAATATGCAGATTGCAGACTATCACTGACAATTAAACTATTTTCTTACTGCTTTAAAAAAAATCTTAAACTGAAAGAAATTAAATTAGAAGTGAGCAGCAGAAGTTAAATTTTAGTGTGGTAAATTGAGAGATGAATATTGGAGTAGTTTGAATCCACTAACATTCTATTTACTTTGACTTGCACTGGAAATGAAAGGTCTTCCAAAACAGTGAAATGACCTTTGTCTGTGCAGCCTAGCATGGAAAGGCATCAAATTCTGTAATTAACTTTTAACAAGATTTGAGTTTCACATGATCAGTACCACTTGTATTACTGGAAATTAAATAAAAATATTAGCTTGCTTCTCAAGGAATCATGAGGAGGTACATATCATGTGTCCTACAGGATATCAACTCCTGAAATTGTATTCCTCCTCACCATGTCAAATGTAGTGAGGTTTGTCAGGTCTCCTACCTTGAGCTGGATGTTGTCTGGAATGCTAGCAGGTCTGGCAACAGAAAGTGGAATTTAAAAGGCTGTGGATTCTCTTAAAAGGCTGAGTGAATTAGGATTGATCAGTCTGGAAAAGAGAAGACTACAGAAGTGACCTAAATGTGGTCTTCCAATACCTGAACGGAGGCTACAAGAAAGATGGAAAGAAATTTTTACAAGGCCATGTACAAATCATGTTCTTACAGGATAAGCAGCAATGGTTTAGACTGGATATTAAGAAATTCTTTACAGTGAGAGTGATGAGGCATAAGAACAGGTTGTCCAGATATGTTATACCTGTCCCATCCCTGGATTTGTTTGAGACCAGGCTGGATGGGGCTCTGAGCAGCCTGGTCTAGCAAAAGTTGTCCCTGCCCCTGTCAGGAGGGTTGGAACTAGGTGATCTTTTAGGTCTCTTTCAAGGCATTTTATAACTCTATGATTTTTGCTATTTATTAAGATCCAAAAACAAGCACTATGCCCAAAAATCCAACTTGCTGTATTTCCTTGAGAACCTCTTTTTTTGTTTTTGTTAAGAGCAATATGTATGAGATATAAGCATCTAAATCCCTCTATAAACAAATCTACACCCTTGGAATATCTTCCCTGCAATCTTATCTACACAAAGACTTTTGAGTGTCCAAACAACGTTTCCCTTGATCCCCTCAACATAAAAATACAGAGGCGATTATCTACAATTAATGGACTGGCCACAAGAAGACATAAACAGCTACATCATAGACTATGACTGCACATCCCCTGTGCCCATGCAAACACAAATTTTTACCTTTGAACACAAGTCCTCACAGGATAGGTTAGAACTTACAGCTCAAAGATCCATCCCTGCTTCTCATTTGTGTACATAATTACCTTAATCAGTTATCCATCCTTGAGCATAATCATGTTTACTTTGCTTATCATGTTCCTGGATTTGCTGCTGAAGAAATAATGAGATCAAGAAGTGCTTCTTCAAAGAAGAAATCATGCCTTGTTTCATATAAAATGCACACCATATCTGCGGTGTATTCAATCAATACAAATCGCCTAAAAGCAGGAAGCAGGAACAAACTAAAAATTTTTTTCTGAAAAATGATCATAAAACATCATTTGGGCTGTAGCCAGTCTGACATAAAGACTCCTCCCTACATTTGTGGGTTTTTTTGGCATAAAGAGTTTCTGTTGTTCTTCCTAATCAAGGGTGACCTTCAAAGGGACAGCTGCTGATATATCCTGTCATGATACCTTTGCATCAACTAAACACAGCATAGCTAATTTAAGATTCATACGGCATTTGTAAAAGCCTTTAATTTGGTCCTTATCATCCCCTTCATATATATTTGACTTTACTTGCTTCACCACACTTCCACATTTAGAAACAGTGTTCTTGTCTGAATAAATAAGTCTGCTAAGAGCATCTATTAAGTACTGGTATCCCCAGGGTCTGAAACACGTTTATTTATTTTTTTTTTCTCTTCCATCTTTTGCCTGGTGAAGCTGAGCTATAAAGCATACAGCAGTGAGGAGAAGGGTTGCCTTAGTAACGAGGCAGACCCAATCAGCTGCACAGGCTCCCTTGAGACAATCTAATTTGTGCAGAAGAAAGGGGCTAGGACAGGTGGCTAAATTAATGTGCCAGACAGCTTAAAATATTACACACACACACACGCACACACATGCATGCACATGCACGAATGCATACACAAAATCTCTCTGAGTACTTCTACGTGAATGCAATTATCTTCCACGTTGTGTAAAATAAACAGCATCTGGGTAGCTCAGCCCTGCGAAACCCCGGAGTAGTGGAGATGCCGCAGTAGCGGAGGAGGAAAGGCTGGGTGGGAGGGAGCAGCGCTCCTTCCCTGCAGTCCTGCTGGATCTGCTCCAGGGAGGGGGAAAGGACTCCTCCCAACAAGCACAGGCTGGAACAGGGGTGTGAATGTGTGCCCTCCCCTCTTTACTGGGGCTTATGACCTCCCTCTTGGTGATAGCGTGATGTGTTGTGTTGCTCTCCTGATTCCACAGGGTGCTGGAGCTCTCTCCTCCTGACACTTTCTGTACCATTTCACAAGGCTTTCTCTCTCCATGCCCTCGACTCTAATTTAAAGTGAACTTCCACCCTTTTCCCACAGTTTTCAAAAAGAACAGATTTGTAAACATTTCATATTCTCATCAGTCCCTGCTGTGTGAGGATTCAGCCACATCGCAAGTATTTGGATCAGTTTGGATGCACATCACACACCAGCTTCTAGGTCTCACAAGCACAATCTCAAATAATTTCTTTTTGCAGCATCTCCAGACTGAATGTAGCCTTGCACAGAGAACACAGAAATTCTGAACCCACTCTTTAACATCTATAGTACACATGAAAGTGGCATATGAGGAAAGTGGCATATGCACAGGAGTCCGGCAACAGATTTGGCTTCAGATACCTTGTGTTGCTACAGTGAAGGATCACTCCTAATTTCTTTATACTGGTAAAAATGTATTCCCATCTAGCTAATTATGAGGCATCTGACAAAAATTACTAGTACAGATACAGTTATAGTATTGTTTCTCTACTCTAGCTCCTCAGACAGAAATGCTGTGGGAACTGCCCCCTCAAGCCAGGCACATGTACATCCCTACATGACATTATGAGCTCTACTCAGTCAGGAGTTCTCTCCTCCTTTTTGCCTGCATCTTGAGCAGATGAAACCTTTTGCTGGCACTTAACAGGGCATTTCAATGTCAGGCTATTTGGCTTCTTTACACAGCAAGGCACTTCTCACCTACCTACATCAGACTAATAGTGAAGAGCTCTGAATACTGAAATCAAGCAGGCTATGAGAAAAACTGAGGAAAACATAAAATGGTATGTTCCAGCCCCATGGGGAAAAAAATTCAGGGTGAAAATACTGACAAACACACAAACCATAAGAGATAAAGCTATAAAAGGCCTGAAAGTGTCATGGGATTTGTTTTTCCTTTTCTCAGTATGTTTGGTGTCTAGAAGGTGTGCCTTACAAGATTATTGATATACTATTTTTCCCCCCCTATTTCCAATAACTGTAAGGACAGCTATTTGTGCTGTACTGACAAGCTATCTCAGTGTGGAGAATTACATAAGATTTGGCTGGAAATCAGAAACCAGACTGTGTGACAGTCATGTAATTAAATGGAAATCCGTGGTGAAACCAGGACCAGATTTTGCTTGGTTTTTTCCAGTGTCTACCAAAGTAAAGATATTGGATAGATCTGGGTCTAAAGGTTGCATCCAGTAACATAAAGAAAGCTCATCCTGGAGCAAGGATCTCCTCTAATGCCCTCGTTGCTGCTTCTTACATATTGCTGATACACACACTTTGTACTTTTCATCCTTTTTCACTACTAACAAAAAAGAGCCACGGAGACTTTTCCTGGAAGGATCTTCAGTTAATTTGCTAAGAAAAACACACCATAGGTTGATAGGAAGTGGAAGTTCTTCCAAGGTACAAATTATAGGAGTTGCTCTCACTACCATTTTTGGAAAAGGTGTTAATGAGGTACTCAATCATATCTAAAACACTGGGTATTTAAGTATTTTGCCAGCAATTTGTTGGGCAAAATCTGAGACCTCGATTACACTAAAAGTGTCTTCCAAGGATGTTGAGGTAGATATCTGATTAGGCAAAATCTTTTTGAAATAAATGTCACATGCACATCACAATGTAACACCAGGCATGTAAGAACGAAACCAGTAAAAAGTCGAAGACAAGGAAAAAATCTGGTTGCTAATGAAAATTTTGTATATCTGTAAATGATGCATTTACAAAGAAAAATTTAATATCAATTATTTTAAAATATGTAAAATTAAAATATACATATCCACATCCCCTCAAAGCCTGTGACTACATTACCAACCTTTACCACCAAACTCCAAATGATCAGCCTTCACCTAAAGATATTAAAACAAAGCAAGAAGGTCTTGCCTAGCATTTTAAAATGTCATTGTCTGATGCAGAATATTTTGACCACAGACTTATTGGACAATCTGGGGATTTATTTAGTAGTGTCTCATCCCTCACTTTTGGAGCACTGACATCTGTGAAAGGCATTATGGGGAGGTTCTGCTGTATCTGCAGATGAATATCTATCAATTATCAAAAGAAGGTGCATCACACCACATTCATACAAAGAGCAGAAAAGCCATTGTTTAAATTACAAAGATTTCCCTGTCAAGGATGAACACCAAGGTAAACAGAGCCTCAGGAGAGATTTGTGTTACCTAACCTAGACCTTTACATTTGAGCTCACCCCTAACTCTCCTTCTATTGTAGTCAGTGACAGAAAAGAAGAATTTTTTAAGCATAACTCATTTAATTACAGGTAGATTGCTGGAATTCAGATGAAATATTATTAGGTCCTAGAAATACTCTCTTTTTCTGAATTACCTGAAAAAATATGGGTAACTTCTTAAGATGGATAGAGCTACTGTGTAAGTATTTAATATTTGTTGAGACCAAATTCTGTCTCTCATGTCTCTGTTTGATCTTTCAGGGAAGAGGATCTTAGGATCTACCCTGACCAAACAGTTTCTAGTTGTCACTGGATTAACATAAATTTCAGAGATGCTTCCCTCCCCCATCCTGCATCTGGCAGCTGAGAATTTGACCAAGCATAATTTAAATGCATGCTGTGCAAGAGGGGAGGGAAGTAGAAAACATTTCCGAGTAAAAACAAAACACATCAGTTTTGCAATGAGTGTCTCTGCATTTATCATTTTCTGTAAAGCTGTCCAGAGATCAGAGTCCTAACAGAGTCAAGACAAGCTCAGTTGACTGAATTTATGCAGTGATTGGGGAAAATAAGCACAACTCAATTGGAAAACAGAAGTCTGGGGTGTTACATGAGAACTACCTTTCTACATTGTGAAGAAAATTGTCACCATAAAGAAATACATTATGGTCATTTCTGTCTCTTCTCAGTGCTGATTTAGAGCCCCCAGCTGGGAAGGCAGCTGTGAAGAGCAAGTAACTGGTGAGCACGGCAGGAGCCCTCCACTCTAATGCTGCTCAATGTAATTAATGTTTTCTTTCTGTTGTCCTTATCACTGCCAGTTATGTGTGTTTTCCTTGGTAAGTGCACAAAGACTGGGCTCGTTTGGCCTTACAAAAGTGAAAGCCAAGGTCTCCTGTTTCTTCATATTTTTGCAGATAATATTCAGGGTGAGCCAGTAGCTAGATTTTAGCCACCCAAACTTCTGAAGAGAGTTTATGAGGTCTTGTGCTAGCCAAGAGTAGACAACAGAACCAAACCCCAGCATTTATTGCATTCCCACTCGTAGTAGGGAATTACACTATTATACTAAGGTTGCAAAATATTTTCCATGCTACATCCATGTTTCCAAATGGCCAGTTTACGGGAATATGACTATTAAGAAAATGCAATTTTGGTACACAAGCTTGTCTTTGACTTATGTAAAATAAGTTGTTAAAATGCAAGCATAAAGATTCTTTAAGAATATATTATTAATTAGCAGATAAGTACAAATGGAACTATATTGTTTAAACCAGGTTCTTACCTAATCCTCTGATGAAATCAGTCCCTGTGGGAAGCACTCAATGCACTCAATGGCATTAGAAATCAGAGTGGTGTGATAAAATGAAATTTGCACTGCTGATGGTTTTAAAGTAGAAACAAGTATGATATGAGAGTACTAATACTGATATATAAATAATTGTCCCTGAGATTATATGATTTATTAGTCTTGCAAAATAAATGTGGAAAGATGTAATTAAGCTGTTCTTTTAAAATAATAACAGACCTAAATTAGTATATTTTCTTTTATCCAAGTAAACTGACCAAAATCTGCAAAAGATGCAGAAAAAGTCAGAAGTCCCAATAATTCTATCCCATACTGGGGTAAGTGGGAAGAAAAATGTGATGACAAACATGTACAAAACTAAAAAGAGTAAAGAAGGGGGACGGTCATAAGTATAAGCCAACACTGCATTATTAAATCCCACTTTATTAATGCTGAAATTTATTGAAGGGAAAAACCACCCTAACCTCAGAGGTCATCACTG